AGAGGCGGGCAGGCTCCACGGGGGGAAAAAAGGATCGGGCTCCTCACCATAACGGTGATGGAAGCCCCTAAATTGAAATGGTGGGTTTTTAATCATCACAATTAAAAACCCACCATTTCAATTTAGGGGACTAAACTCCCATCACATGTATAAGCAGCCTACATGAACAAGTTACTTTGAGGTAAACTAGGGTGTGAATTTGCAGTGTATCAGATACTCTGCAATAAGTGCCTCTATACACACCCTTAGCCTTCAATAAATTCTTGCTAATCAAAGGAGGATAAGCTACCTCAAATTTGATGCAGGGTAGATGGGTAAAACACCGTAACAAGTATCCTGTCCATAAAATACAATTAAAAATGACAGCTTTTTAAGCTTCCATATTTTCCCACACACAGGACCCTGGAATATAATACATGCCTTGTTTTTAGAAGGCAAAATGAAGGAAAAAAGGTTTTTTCCAGAGTTGTGGCTGCATAGAGTAGAGGCAGAGCCTAATATTCAGCTGATTTACCCTCCCTCTCCCACTTAACTAAAGCTGAAACCCTGGTTGGTGCTAAAAATTGGTCTCCATAGGTAGAGCTACGAATTTGAAAAGAGCTACAGAGAGTCTCAAGCTGTAAAATAGGAGGAGAGAAACCAGAATTAGCTATCAGGCAGCAAATTTGCCCAAAGAAAAGTTAGCTTGATTATTGGAACATCAAGACGAGTGGTACTCAACCTCCGGCTTGTAGACCAGATCTGGCCCATGAGGCCATGTCATCTGACCGGTGGGTCTCCCCCTCAGCCTGGAAATTTGGCAGCAAGGGAGCAGTGCCATCATTAGTTGCTGCATCCGTGCTGACAATTTTTCAGACCCATGAGGAGACCCACAGGTCAGATGACATAGCCCTGTACACTAAATTGTACCAGCACACTGTAGGGTTACTCCGTAGCCAGATGCGGGATCACTCTGCAGTTTGTGGGGTTAAGCCAGTGTGCAGCCAGATGTGATACGCATGCTCATCCCGAGCCAACACACCAGATTGCACCCATGGACCAACCCCATACATGGAATCTGGCCCATGGACTGGCCTTGTGCCATTCATCTAGCTCACAGAGCCAGAAGTTTGAGCACTACTGATCAAGACCATTAAAAAAAAAGACAATGCCCTATCTTTTATGGGGCATGACCCTCATGGGGTTACACATGTAGGATCAATTGTCTATCTTCCATCTTGCAGAGTACCCCTCAGTGGCCCATCATAACACTAACTGGCCCACGTTTTGTTGTAAGGTGAAGTGTTGAAATTCAAATGTAACAGGCACCCGGACCAGGAAGTAGAAGAGTTGCAGGGAGTCATTAGAGCCAGTCCCTGCAAGCCAATTTCTGTGGCTTTTCAGAGTCACCATCTTGCCCTATTCCAGCAGGAAATTGGACAGGCAGATATGATCCCTGTGGCCACTTAGTACAGGATAGAGATGTACACAGTCTCAGAGAGATCTGTCCAATATGCGGAAGAGGGTGCTGAGGGCAGCAAAGAGCAGCTGCAGCTGGTAGCAGTCCAGGAAGGCATGGAAAAGAATCTCCTTCTCCTCCTCGCAGACAGGGCATGCTGCCAGTGAGTGGCAAGCAAAAGAGCCTGTGGCCAGAGCCCCACGCAACAGTTGCCACTGGAGGTTTGGCAATGGGTAGCTTATTCAGAGTGTGCCAGGTAGGGCTGTGTGGAGCTTCAGGTGCTGATTCAATTCGGAGGAGATTCAGCCTGATTTGGCAGCCAGATCTCCAAATCCAAATTGAATCAGGGAACCAATTAAAAGGTCCAAATTGATTCGAAGCTCTCCAAATCGATTTGGAAAAGATTCAGAGAGCTTCGGCGACTCAGGCAGTCCCCACTGGCTGCAGCAGACTTAGACTCCATGCTGGTAAGTAGAGGGTGGGGGAAGGGATGCTGGAGGAGGGGGAAGGGGACCATGGGGGGACCCCTGCCAGGCCCCATCCCCTGCCTGCTCCCCCAGCCCCCTGAGCACCCCCCTAACCCCCGCCTGCTCCTCCA